TGGAAGTAGGAGGTGGGAGTGGGTGTGAGTGTGTGGGCGAGAAGAGGTCGTCACCTTTTTATAAGAACACTCCCATTTGTATCGGAAAACTCCCAGCACGGAACACCGATCCCTGCAAGAAGCAAGCTGTTCCTTATGTGACTTGTAAATCACACTGGATTTAAATATTCCGACCATTCCTTACCCCAGTTGGGTTTCATCTACCTGATTTTGCTTCTAAGACTAAGATGAATGGAATTCTAGAGTCTTGTTTTAAGAATACTTCACAATTAACATTGTTAATTACATCACAACTATAAAGGGACAGAGGGCTTCTTGTCCTGAAGCTTGCTCAAAGATCTGATTTGATTTCAAGTTGAGAACATTCTCTAGAATTTCTAAATTATCATTATTTGTATCTGTTCCCAATTTATTCTGGTCTCTATTAACTTAGTTATTGGGATGTAATTTTAACAAAAGAATTTAGTGAAACTGTTTTTTCACAAGCTTTTCCCAAGTGAAATTTTCAATGAGATTAACTGTTTGACTTGAGACCTGTAATATTAGTAATGTATTAGTAGGTAGTATTATCATAAACAGCATAGTCACACCTAATATAACTTTCACCCAATAGTGGCATATATCAAACAACAGAACTAATATTTGGGTTCATTCTTCATTTCACTAGCTGCTGACATGTTTGCACAGAATTTCCAAGAATCAAAGGAATTGTTTAGCCAGATATAAGTCTTGGAGATAATTGAATACTACACGTAATTTTGAATGTGAATCCTATTTTCTATTCAGTTTCCACTATGACCAGAAAGGACCATGGAAATATTATATTGGCTCCGTCCCACACATCTGAATTTGGAGATCTGGGTTCTGTACTGCTGATAGTAATGTGGGAGTGGCAGAGAGTTTTTACATGGGAGCAAAACTTAAAAAACAAAAGCAAGCAAGCAACATCAGTAACAACAACAAAAACCCAATGCACTGCAGGAAAGGAATCCATTATTTTCATAGTTTTGTATATCAGAGTGGCTAGGCTGTAGTACATGATTATTCAATTAAACACTAATCTAGTCAGGTGAGGTAGTGCAGCTGCTCAAGAGATTGACTCAACACAAGTTTCAGGCCTGCTAATCCTATAAACCAATTTCAATTACATAAATACTCCTGTAGAAGGACTCACAGGCTGAGCACTAGTGACTCACTCAGGAGGCTGAGATCTGAGGATCGCCCAACCAGAGCAGGAAAGTCAGTGAAACTCATCTCCAATTAACCACCAGAAAACTGGAAGTAGAGGGCGAGCCTTCAGCCAAAGAGCTTAGGGACAGTGCCCAGGTTCTGAGTTTAGGCCCAACAACCAACAAGGGGGAGAACGAAGGAAGGAAGGAAGGAAGAATTCACAGAATAAGATGGTATTGATCAAGATTTATTATACTTATAACCTGACTTATGGAATTGTACAACTACTTAATAACACTAACTTAAGAAAAACATATCTTATTGTGAACATGGTTGCAAAATTTAAGTCAGCCTTCAAAATATGCAAAATAACGAGGATTTTTTAAAAATTTAAACACTGAGTACAGCAAATGTGGACAGTGTTAAAAGCAGAATAGGACCTGTGACTTTAGAGATGCCTTCCTCATCCTGCTATGCAATGAGGGGATAATAGGCCCAGGAATTACCCCAAATTTGCTTCATTTCTAAAACTTCAAGCACAAGCTCCCTTTTCAGAATAGAAATCTCCTTTTTGTTTTTAATAGGTAGAGATTAATCTGCTAAGCTAATGGCAAGATACATATCTGACTAACTTGTTCCTATAATTTTGTGTTCTCTTCCTTTGTGAATGCCAGCATCAAAGCACAACAGTATTTCAGCCCTCAGGAGTATCACTACTGGAAATCATAAACATTTTCACACTAACATATAATTGTTGCCAATTTCTTAAAATGTCAATTATGCTATTACTAACTTAAAATCTATATTTATTAGAGGAGACTATATAGTACATTAATAAAGGAGCCCAAATATCACAGAAATATTCAGTAATATATTTCAATGTAATTAGTTTCTATCTGAAATCATAGATAGATAAATGAAATAGATGATAGACTAGCAGATAGATAATTTTTTTCTTTGTATTTAAAAGTGTTATACTGAGATGGCATCCATAATCACCAAACTACCATAGAGCTCCATGGTGTAAAACCTGGTTAGAAGACCCCTATTTTATTATCTGAGGAGGAATGAGCTCTATCTCAATGCTTATGCACTTTTTTAAGGGAGAGGGGAAAGGGTTGTTGAAACTATGAACCCAAAGCAAATATTTTTCTGATATTAACGTGTATGTTCTCTGCATCAGTTTTACCCTTGAGTTATTTCCAATGCTTACCAGGCACAGAGATGATGCCTCTTCAGAAACACCGACTGGAATATGCACATTTGACAAACATTTTTGTTTGAAAGAATTCGTGTGTGTGTGTGAAAATTGACTATGCTGTTTTTAAAGCTATCAGACATAGGTCCTGTGATAAGGAAGATCAGGCAATGATAGTTCCTAGCCAAGTCTTGCTTAGTAAACTTTGGGAGGGAGGAGGGAGGATTTAACAAAATACAGAGATACAAGGAAAAAGTAAGATCAAACCACGCTTTGACGACTTCCAATTTCCTAAACCTTTCCTTGTTTTATTATCTTTTCCTCCAAGTCTTATCACGGCTGTTTTATTTCTTTAGTGTCTTACAACCTGTTTCACCCACTGCCGTGTTGTTATTATTGTTGTTAGAGGACAAGAGTATCATCTCTTTGAGGTTTTATCTGCAGGGCTTTGAGCAGCGATTTTGGTGGAATTACTACAGGCATAAATGGAGAGGTGATCATGGAGCAGAGAGGATGCGAGTTTTGCCACTCAGTCATTTTTGGCAGAAAAAAGGCAAGAAATGAGTAAAGATAGCGTTTGTTGCAAACGTAGCTGGGAATCTACGAGCTTAGTCCAGGTGGGCTTGGTAGCTTGAAATTCCAAGGTCAGACACTGCAGGTGTAGCTTGTTATTTTCTTATAACCTGACATCCGCCAGCAGGCCGTTCACGTGTGGGGCCAGTGGCGCAATGGATAACGCGTCTGACTACGGATCAGAAGATTCCAGGTTCGACTCCTGGCTGGCTCGGCACAGGCGGTTCTTTTGTTTCTCTCTAGATGCCACAGCAGTTTAATAGAATAGGAAAATTCATACACGATCAAGTTTTAGCCCGAAGTCTCAGAAACGTAAGTGCTGTGCTCTTTGGACCAGAGCGGGAACCATTACTTCTTGGTAGCGCAAGTTCTCTGTGCCACTATTCGATAAAGAAATGCGTGCAGTCTCCAAGTCGCTGGTCCATTTTGATTGAATAATAAAGTTGAATCAGCCTAGTAAGCAAAGGGAAGACATGAAAATCTGGGCATTCAGATTAAGCGATCATAACAACGAAAGGTCTTTAGTTGCATTTCACTGAGCGATTTGTAGAATGAAGTAGTAAAGGCATTTACAACGCTCTTCGCCGTCCTCGCTAATTTTAGAGACGGTTGAGGACGCATGCGCCTATAACAATACACGCGTTAGCGGACAGAGGGCGTGTCTTGTTGCGTGAACTATGAGCTAGAGGAAACCTTTTTCCAGCGGGTTTCCGTAGTGTAGTGGTTATCACGTTCGCCTCACACGCGAAAGGTCCCCGGTTCGAAACCGGGCGGAAACACGGATCGTACCTTTTTTTTCCCCCCTCCTTACTGAACTGTAATAAAACGGTAGGAATAATTTCCCTCCTCTCTCAGGGACACGTCGGCCTCGGCCTCCTGGGTGGCCGGCTCGAGGCCTCCGTGCCGAGGTAGCGGCGGCGTTTCGCGCGCGGAGAAGCGGCTCGGCCGGGCTCGCTGGAGTTGCCCTGCGGGCCGCAGCCCCGGAAGAGCATCCTCGCTTGCCCTCGTCTTCCTGCCGGCCTGGCTGGGCCTCCGTGGCCTTTGCCATCTCCGCGATCCGTGAGGGCGCCGACCCACCTTGCCGAGGCCCAGGCGCGGCCGTACCGGTAGCTCGGATCCCTCGGCGCCCACGAGGCTCAGGTAGGCGTGGGGGGGGGGGTAAGGTGCTGTTGCACAAAAATCATTAAAAATGGGGGGATCTGGAGCCGGGGCCCCAGCCTCGGTGAACCTGGGCCCCTGCTGGGCCCCGGACCGCCCTTCCCTCCTTGGCCTCCGCGGTGCAGAGCAACCGCGGGATCCATCCTGAGCTCCGTGGTCTGTGCGCCAGGCAGAGGCCACAGGGCGGATCAGCCGATCGGTGGGAGTGAGGAACCCTCCTGGCCGTGATAGGGCAGAGGAGGAGGAGGACAGGAAGAAATCTGAAAGGATCGAGCCCTCAAAGCTGTGACCTGGAAGAGGTCCTGGGGGGAGGTTTGGGCGAGCCGAGCTAGGCCCTGCAAACTGCTTTAGGAAACCCCCCAGGAGACACTGACTGAAAGGGGCCGAGGTCTTATTTCATTTTGGTCTTCTGTTTTCCCATGAAAACAAACAAATACATACATACACAAAGACAGACCCCCCCCCCCCAGTTAAAAATAGAACAACTGTGGATTCTGTGGCTTAACTTGCGCCTTGAGAAAAACCACTCGGTGATTTTGGGGTTTGAGAACACTCTGGTGTTGGCCCTCCAACCCCCCGCCTGACAGATGGCTGGCTGTCATCTTCACTGGATGAACAAACAACTTATGACGAAAATGCTTTGTTATGTCGTCATCTAACTGCCTCGGGCGTCAACTTGGAATTTCCTCGTAACTGATAAGAATGTATGATGATTTTAGGACCATAAACAAAAAAGGAGGGGGAAATTCTTATCTAATGAATTTTTTAAATTATCATTTTATCTTAAATTGGTATCTTGGATAGTCATTACTTTACCCTGCGCTGTTAGTCTTTGTTGACATACCTTTTCTGAAAAATACACATTTGTTGTCGTCCTGTTGGTTTTTTTCTTTTAAGATCATATCTTAGTTAGCAAGACAATAAGTTTGGGGTTATACTCCCTAGCAGTTTATTTAGTATATTTTCACTTGAACTCCCTTTTGTGTCATCCAGAAATACAAATTAATGTGGTGGTCTGAAAGGGGACAAAAGTCCCAGGACCTAAAAATGTGTCAACTATGTATGTTTCCCAGTCTTTCTTTCTCTGATGGCAGTGGACAGGAGTACTTCAGCTGGGCTGTGTGCTCCTAACCAGCAATTGCAGGTGGGTGACTGGGTACCTGTGGTTCACTCTTCAAACCAGTATGTATTTGTGCAAAGTACTGCGGCATTCCAATCCTTTTAGCCACCTTGCTCTTCTTCACCCATTTCTTACTACCATACCTTCCCCATTCTTTCTGAACTCCATGAGAAGCTTTCCTGATGTTTTAATGCTTCAGAAGAAGAACAAATAAGCCCTGGAGATGATTGATTTTATGAGCCTCATTCTCCTGGAACATACTTATATCATGCATATGAATTAAAAAAAATTCATTTTTATTATGTCATTTATTCTCTTCTTCCTAAGTTTGGCATTGATTAACGTCTTCCAGGTGTTTCCTCTAAGCTCAGCGCATTGTTTCCATTATTAAGAGACTGTCAGGAAGAGGGTAGCATTCTGATATTGGAGTAGGATTGAGGATAGAATCCAAGATAAAACTACCTCCCCCATACCCAGTTCAGTAACCATCAAAGAGCGTAAGGATGATGCTAAAATAAGCCTTGCTAGTGTGAAATAAACCTTGCTGGAAAAAGAGTGAGTGTGTGTGTCAGATAAGATAGAATTAGTCCATAGTCTCTTGAGTGAGAATAAAAACTAGTGTGTTCTCATATCTTCCTGCCTCAATCTGAGAACAGAGTATAAGGGCAAGAAACTTTGAGATACTGAAGTTATTTTTCAAAGACATGGCAACAACTTTTCAGTTTTTAGGACTAACCAAAAATTTGTAAAAATAATTCAAGGGAAAAATTCTGTTGACAGAGAAAAAGTAAAAGTGAGTGAGAGTTTTAAATCATGTATCATCACATTACATAGAGCTGGATATTTCTTGTGAAATTCTCCAATTGAACTCATTTTCTTTTTCTTCCTCTCTCCTCCCTTCCCCCCTGTAAATGCTCCACTATTAAGCTACCCCCTTCTCCGCCACACCTTCTCAGCTAGTCTGCTAATTTTTTTTTTTTTTTGGGTCCATTCGTGGGGCCTGAACTCTGGGCCTGGGCGCTGTCCCTCAGCTCTTCAGCTCAAGGCTAGTGCTCTACCACTTGAGCCACAGCGCCACTTCCGGCTTTCTTTTCTTTTTGCTTATGTGGTGCTGAGGAATCAAACCCAGGGCCTCATGCTTGCAAGGCAAGCGCTCTACCGCTGAGCCACCTTCCCAGCCCTAGTCTGCTAATTTTTAATATGGAAAGGTATTTCTACCATCAGCAGCTACAGGGAAGAAGGAACATATTTGATTCTTGCCTCTGGGGCTGTTAATCTATACTATAGACTATACATAATTTTTAGTACTTATATTCTTGAGTAAACTCAACTTTTTTTCTGGGTAGTATATGGAGAGTATACCAGCTAGGTGCCTCTCTACCCCCTCCTCATATTCCTGAACTAATCCCCATGCCCTTTCTAACCCTGTAAAAATTGCTCACCATTCCAAATTTTGTATTTGTCTTTGGCTTCATTTTACCTTTATTAATTGTCTATAGTCTAAACTTGCCATAGTGTCACACTTATAAATGGGTGTATATTGTCATTCTTCTGCAATTTGCAATACTCAGCATCATGTTTGTATTTATCCTTGTTTTTGCATGTAGCTGTAATCTGTTTCTGCTACTGAATAGTATTCTTTTCTATAAATATTGCTGAAATGTATTTATCCATTCCACTGAAGGACAGTTGGGTTGTTTCTAGTTGTTTTTATTTTTAATTATAATATTGCTAGTTGTGTGCCATGCCTCACATCTGTAATCTTAGGTACTCAGGGGAATGAGATCTAAGAATCACTGCTCACAGCCAGCAAGCTTAGACAGAAAAGGCCAAGAGACTCTTACTTCCAATTAACCAGGAAAAAACCCAGAAGTAGAGCCATGGTTTAAGTGGTAGAGCAACAGCCTTGAGCAAAAAATCTAAATGATAGAGCCTCATCTCCAGTACTCACGCACACAGACACACATACACACACACACATACACTACAATTATAATACTGCCTTAATTTTTAGAGGGGTCTCTAGGTAGGCATGGCTCCAATAATTTCTTTAGAAAAACTCTTAAAAATTGCTTTACATAATTTCACTGTTTGTAATGTGAATACACTAATTTTCACACCTATAGTGTGTATATGTTTTGATTGTTCTGCATCTGATGACCCCTTTATATTGTCAAACCAATGAATTTTCATGTCTGATGGAGGTGAAATGTATACCGTTGCTTCAATGTCATTTTCCAACTACATGTTTTGTGTGTGTGTGTTCACCATTTATGCTTCTAAGAAAATATTTTTTGTCATCTTTTCTTTTTTGTTTTTTTAAGGTGCAAGACCAAGACTTGAACTTAGTATGTGAAGCTTTGACTCATTGGCTACCACTCTACCAACTGAGCCACGCCTCCAATCCCTTGTCACTTTTTCTTTAGGTTTCAAATTTAGTCTAATTGTTTTTTTTGTTGTCTTTTCTTTCTTTGATACTAGGGATCAAACCCAGGATGCTGCACTTGTTAGGCAGATGCTTTGCTACTGAGCTACATCCCAGTCCTATTATATAAATATATAATATATAATTATATGTCATATAACTATATATTATATAACGTTATATAATTTATATGTATATTTTTAATTTTTTATGTTACTGGAGTTTGAACTTGGCTTCACACTTGCTAGGCATGCTTTCTACTGCAAAACTATGCCTCCACCCTCTAATTTGACTTTTAATGTTAAATTTGACCACAATTTCCCTTTATGGTTTACATGTTATGTTTTGCTCAATAACCCTTCACAGAAACGTGGGAAAAGGAAGCATCCTGTCAATTGGTAAGCCACCAGCTGCCATCATGCCCAAGAGAAAGGTCAAAGGAGATGCTAAAGGTGATAAAGTCAAGGTGAAGGATGAGCCACAGAGGAGATCAGCAAGGTTGTCTGCTAAGCCTGCCCCTCCCAAACCAGAGCCCAGGCCTAAAAAGGCTCCTGCAAAGAAAGGAGAAAAGCTGCCTAAAGGGAGAAAGGGAAAAGCAGATGCTGGCAAAGATGGGAACAACCCTGCAAAAACCCAAGAGGCGTCCACAGTCCAGTCACAGAAAGCAGAAGGCACTGGGGATGCCAAGTGAAGTGTATATTTTTGATAGCTTTGTACTTAGTAACTCTACCATTGAAATACTGTTGTCATTTAAAAAAAAGTTTTATAAAAAAGTTAAATTTTGGGTTTTTTTCAAATTTATGTTATTAGTACACAGAACACTTTGTTGTTGTCTTTTGTGGAAAGGGAAAACACCACTAATAAAGTGTGTCTCAGAAGCTGAACTGAAATGAGAGAAACTAGAATTTCCTATCCTGGTCTTTGAAGATTGTCCTCAGTTCCTGGGAAAGAGTCTCTTAAGAGTCACTCATTTTAGCCATTGACAAATAAGCCTTACAGTGTGGGGGGGCAGAACTTGACTTTTCTTCATTCCGTGAGCATAGGTCATACCTTCATTGAGCCAGCACCCCTGAAATCAGCCATGTTAGGAACAACACTCAAGCTTTCTAATGATATCAAGCTGGTGTAGCTCAAAAGAGCCAAGATTCTGGCTTTTAGTAGAATCATCCTGATGAGTGAGAATCCTGAAGGTTTTAGTCCATTTCTTCTATTGCTTGTGATAAGCAATTATATGTTTGCTTCATGTGGCATGCCCCACCCCCCACCCCCCACCCCCACACACCCACCCCTTCAGTAACCTTGTCCTGTTCCAAGCAGCAACAAAGGACTTTTTGTTGTCTTTGACAGTGATATTATGGGAAATTGGAGCTTTGAAGATATAAAAACTTGTCCAAAGCCAGGCACCGGTGACTGATTCCTACAATCCTAGCTACTCAGGAGGCTGAGATCTGAGGATCAGGGTTCAAAGCCAGCCCAGGCAAGACAGGCCATGAGACTCTTATCTCCAATTAACTTCCAGAAAACTGGAAGTGGCTCAAGTGATAGAGCACTGGCCTTGAGCTGAAGAGCTCTGGGACAGTATCCAGGCCTAGAGTTCAAGCCCCACAACCGACCAAAAAAAAAAGAAAAGTTGCCTAAGTACTACAGAAGTAACTTCTGAAAAGTATCTTACAAAGCTCAAAACAAATTGGATTGTGGGGAAGGATATTATTTCTATACCCAAAGTTGAGAAATATTCTTTACTGCCTTGTAAAAGTTGATAGTTTTTCCTTTTTATACTTCTTTAGAATACTTTTTCTTGATTTTGTGCAAAGTGTGAAGTAAAAATTCAATTTCATAATTTTCCATATGATATTAACTGAAAATTTCATGTTTCCCCTTACTGATCTTTTGTAAATCCACTTTCTATGTAATTATGAGTTTGCTGATGGTTCCTATCTAGCTCACTGGCGGCCAACTTGTCTAATCTTGTCTAATCTCACTCCTAATTATTACAGCTTTAAAAAAATCTTAGCAAAAACCAAGATGCAGGAAATAAGGGCACTGGTGGCTCATACCAATAATCCTAACTACTGAGAAGGCTGAGATCTGAGATCATGATTCAAAGCCAACCTGGGTAGGAAAGTCCCAGAGAATCTTATTTCCAATTAACCCCCAGAAAACCGGAAGTGATTGAGCTGAAGAGCTCAGGGATAGCACCCAGGCCCTGAGTTCAAGTCCTGCAACTGACAGAAAGCAAAAAAAAAAAAATGTATTCATTACTTGATTTATGAAACAATAATCCTTTGTACATCATCTTCGTAAAAACAATAAAAAAGATGCCTGTACATTTTTATCACAATGTTAACCAGTTCTACCTTTAATGTCACTATCAAATTTTTCTTCCTAAGGAGTATGTTGGCAATTTTACTTGCTCTTCCATACAACTTATATTAGATTAACAAATTCTAACTCATTACTTAGAATAACAAGTTCTAAATCACATGGAATTTTGATAGATTTTTTTTCTGAACTTATAAATTGGTGAGCCATGTCATTTTTATAATGTTGAGTCTTCCAATATATGAACATGGTAGAATGCTCTAAGCCTTTTAAATCTTTAATTTAATAAAACATATAATCCATAAATTCCTGTTAATATTTCCTGGAGAGTTTATGCTATTTGATGTTATATCTGATACATATTACTTTTTTTTTGCGTTAAGCTAATTGCTGATTGTACTTTGTGTATCTAGCAACCTTACTAAACTTTATCTCTGTATTCTTGTGAGCTTCTACTCACAACCATATATTTTTTGTATATCAATTAGTTTCAGTCTTTATACTTTGTTTTCTGTTTTCTACTGCTCAGTATACTCCAGGTGCTAGAGATACAGTAGTTAACAACAGTGTCCCTGTTTTTTTGAAGCTTATGTTCCAGATGGGAGGAATGTGTAAAGAACATTTACAAATTTATGTGAAAAGGGTCCTTTATTAAAGCCACTGTTGCATATACTAAAACTAGCATTATATAATATTTTCCTTTATAATAATGAGTTTCTGGAAATTCTACTTAAACATTGTTTTACCATCTTTTCTGTGTTCAATTATCCCTACTCAGTAAACAACAAATACAGACTTGTATTTATATACGATGTATGTATTTTGGTATTTGAGTAAGTTAAGAAACTTCCAAGACAGCATTAGGAAACCATCAAATAGAATGACAGTACTCTATAACTAAACAATAGTAATTTCTAGTTAAAAAGGGCAGTAGTGAAATGGCAGTGGAAACATAGTTATCAAAGGTATGATTTTAGTTTTTCTCCAGCAACACAAATTTTGATTTCTGCTTAAGGATCATAATGGGGGGTGTGTGTGTATGTGTGTGTGTGTGTGTGTGTGGCAGTACTGGAAGTTCAATTCAGGGCCTGGGTGCTGTCTCCTGTCCCTGATGTGTTTTTGCTCAAAGCTAACACTCTAGCCCTAGAGCCACAGCTCTACTTCTGACTTTTTGAGGTTAATTGAAGATAAGAGTCTCTGGACTTTTCCTGCCTGGCTTCAAGCCACAACCCTCAGATGTTGTATTTTTGAAGGGGGAGATAGAAGGATAGACTTACAGTGTTCTATAGCACAGATAAGTTGATAATCTTTAATTTGATATTTCAAAATAGGATTTTAATGTTCTTAACAGAGAGAAGTGACAAAATGTCTGAAATGATCAAAATTCCAATTACCCCATCTAATCATAACACATTGATGTGCATTTCCTGAAATGTCACTTATAAATATCTACAATTATGTGTCTACTAAGAATGAAAATATGCCTACACAGGAAATATTCCTGAGGCCAGGAAGATTAAATTAGGAACGTAAATCTCCTTTCATATCTCTTTGATCAATAGCCCTATCTGTAAACTCATAATTCACATCCTGGCTTATAATCACCAGGTAGTTGATATGAATCAACCTGAAGAGATCCAGAGTTTTTAATAATTAAATTCTAAAATGAATTAGATTAAAAAAAATTAGTGACCTATGCATCTCAGGCACTGGCCCTGGAGGACTTAAAGAGGGAAGGAAACCTATCTTTCTGTATCTGTCTTTGTCCCACTCCATTTTTTCCCCCCTCAACTTTGGTTACGATGATCCTGGTAAAATCCTGACACTCGTGTCTCAAAATGCTCCCATGGTTCATCTTAGGTCATAAAAATGAACCCATTCGCTCCTTTCCTGAGTTGCCCCAGGGTGCAGTGGGAAAAACTGTCTCCTTCAGGCTGGATCTCTCTCTGCTCTAGGGCACTGGCAGATCTAGGCCTCTGGATGTCACCTCGGCGGATGACTCTGGTTGGCGTCCTGGTTCCCTAGTTTGATAGGGGAGGCTAGGACTCTTGACTTCTCCCCAGGTATTGCTTCTCAGCCCCATCAGAAACGTGAATTAGGTTTCATTCCCTCGTAACGCCAAGCACTCTTCAGTGGAGTTACAGCAGAAAGCACACCAGGGAAACGGTAGTGTTTGGGGTGAGGGTTGGGGGGGGGATGTCTGCAGGCCTTTTAAGTTTTAAAGTTCCAGGTAACCCATCAGGATAATACTCCAGGGTCCTTTTCAAGAATCATATTAAAAAAAATACCAAGGATTTTAAAGAAGACAATTATACTTGAAAAAAGTAATCAAACAAGGTACAGGTATCTGTGTACTTCATTAACACATTGATATCAAACACCGAGACTTTCCCTAGAACTATCTTACTCCATATTTGTGAACTGTATTGTGGAATAAAAGGTGTGGTTGTTTTTGGTAACAAAGAGGTAGGTACTTCTCTTTGGACTGTGGTTTTTGTCTTAAATTCATAAGCGAAGGAAATATTAAATTTCATTACAGGATAAATATTTTAAAATTCCCTCCCTCCCCCGCATCCAGCTTAAGCAACCTCAAAGTTAAGAAACACCACGAAATTTCCCAATAATTCTCCACAATAAATTTTTTGTCAGTAGTTTTTAGGTTTTTGAAGATATCCAAGGTAATGAAGATAAATGGTTTAGAGATAGTTTTAAAGACAGGACAAAGGACTAGAGATGAAGAGAATAGTGAAAAATGGAACAATGTTTATTTGTTTACTCTGTTGTTAGTTAATGGCTGACTAATATATAAATTGTTTGCCTGTAGAAATTGGATATGATAAACAGTAGATATGTGCAGATGCTATACTGCTATACCACATATATCATATATAAATACAAACAATATATAGGACTCTGCCTAATCAAGACCTAATAGAAGACACAATTCCTAAATTTCATACACACACACACACACCACACACTCTCTACATTTGGGCATTTTCAAAAATTGATCTGTTGCTACGATTTTTGGGAGTAACTTAAACACATTTTGGACCTCAATGTAAAATGAAAAACAGAAGGAGCTGTTCAGTTTAGTAGGTGCTTGGTTTCAGCTGCTTTTGAAGAAAAAGGAAAGAATTCTTGAGGCTCACTCTCCTTTTTTGTCTGGCCAGATTTTCAGGTAGCTCTCTCCCTAGTATCCTAAGTTTTTGACAAATATCCAATGACTAGATAGGTCTCATAATATTAGGATTTTTTTGTACAGCTAAAGGACATTTGAACTTCAATGCTGGCATATTTAAATTTCAGAAGGGGGCGTGGGAGAAAGGAGTAAGCCAGTTTCGAAGAAGTGTGGAGATCAGTAAAGACTCAATGGAGGCACTGGGGATGTAGCTCAGTGGTAGAGCGCATGCTTCGCATGTATGAGGCCCCGGGTTCGATCCCCGGCATCTCCAGGATCCTTTTGTCACTAAAGAATTGCTATTTTTCTAATCTTCGCTTCATTATTTTCTATAGTGCTCTTTTTCAGCTGCCGTGTACAGAATAATGCAAGTAAATAGGG